GAACTGCGAAGCTCCGAGAACCAAGCAGGATAAACGTGCAAAGAACCACATCGAGGCAGACCATTTCCAAACTGCAGAAAATCAAAGGTGAAGTCCTTAAAGGAGAAAAAAAAACTTACCTATGTAAGAACAAAGGAAAGAATTACATGAAACTTATCCTCAGAAACCATTCAAAACAGAAGAGTGTGAAGTGAAACATTTAAAGTGTTGAGAGGGAAAAACTCACCAACCTAGAATTCTGTACCCTGCAAAATTATCCAACAAAAGTGAAGGAAAAATAGAGACATTCTCAGACAAGCAAAAATTGAGAGTTTGTCTGTAGGCTTGCCTTGTAAAAAATTACTTAAAAAGTTCTTTAGAGAAAAGGAAAATGATTTTTAACCCTGATCTACATAAAGAAAGGCATAAGAAGGAATAAAAATGAAATAAAACCTTTTATTTTTCTTACTCTTAACTGATACAACAGATAATGATTTGTTTACAATAATAATACCAACAATGTATTCAACCAATGCTTATGCGTGTGTAAATATACATACATACATGTGTATTTATATGCTTATGTGTAAATAAAACGAATGACAGAAATGATACACGGGACCCCAGGGAGGAATCAGAACTACTTCTGTTATTTATTATAAGGTACTGACACTATCTGTGAAGGAGTATAGTGTTATTTGAAAGTGGAATTGCTAAAATGTATATTGTAAAATCTAGGGTAACTTTAAAAAAAAATAAACTTTAAAAAAGTTTAAACAACTTTTTAAAGTTTACAACTTTAAAAAAGAAGTATAACCAATATGCTGAGAAAGGAGAGAAAATGGAATAATCTAAAATGCCTAAATATAAGTATAAAAGGCAGAAAAAGAGCGGAAGACAAAAATAAGAACAGAGAACAAGGGTAACAGAAAACAGTGACAAATAAGACCGATAATAATCCAACTGTGTCAATAATCACTTTGAGCACCAGTGCAGATCACCTAAATGCACCAGTGAAAAGACAGATGTTGTCAGAGTGGATCAACAAACAAGACCCAATTGTATGTTGCCTACAAGAAACCCATTTTAAATATAGACACATGTTGATTGAAAGTGAAGAGATAGAGAACAGTGTACCATGTTAACACTAGTTAAGAGAGAAAAAGGCCACTGTGTAAATGGTAAAGGGGTCAATGCTCCAAGAAGACTTAAAACCCTTAACACGCATGCACCTAACAACAGAGCATCACACTATGTGAGGCAAAACCCAATGAAACTGCAGAGAAACAAAAGAATCCACTATCATGGCTGGCAATTCAACACCCCTCTAGTAGAAACGGACAGACTGGGCAGGCAGATAATCAGAAGGACATGGCTGCACTCCACACCATCAACCATCAGCTGGCTGTAACTGACAGCCATGGACTACTTCACTCAACAGCAGCAGGTTAAATGGGCTCCAGCTCACGGGAACACACAGAGAGATATCCCATTCTGGACCATAAAACACACCTTAACAAATCCGAAAGAACAGAAATCACACAATGTCTGCTCTCAGACCACAAGGAATGAAACCTGAAATCAGTAACAGTAAGGTAAGTGGGAAGCCCTAACAGGGAGCTCTGTGTGTTAGGGAGTCTGGGTAAGGACAGCCTCTGCAAAACCAGTCACAGGAGGTCTGCGATCAGGCAAGAAGCATGATGAGAAACGTGCTTTGTGGAAACAGGGCAACAACACACGGATTGGACTGGAAGAGAAAGTGAACAGATCCAAAGAAAACAATTAAACAAGTAAGCGACTCTAGGTAAGAGGTAAAGAGGACTCGAAAAAGAGCAGTAAAAATGGAAGAGAACTGATGAATGTGAGAAAGCCACAAATAATGATCCCCTATTTTTAAAAAACTGAAGTACAGTCAGTTACAATGTGTCAATTTCTGGTGTACAGCACCCAGTCACACATATACATACATATGTTCCTTTTCATAGTCTTTTTCATTAGAGGTTATTACAAGATATTGAATATAGTTCCCTGCACTATACACAGGAAATTTGATTTTTATCTATTTTTACATATAGTGGTTAATAGTTGCAAATCTCAAACTCATAAAAAATTTATGTCCTCAACTCATCTGCTCCCATCCGTCCTGTCTCAGTCACTAACACTCCTGAACCTGTAGCACAGAGACAGACGCCAAGGTGCTCTTCCGGCTGCCATCCTCACTTCTGCCTTCACCCCAGCACATCTCTTCTTAGGTGTCACACTCAGTATCCCCCAGCGGCTCCCCACTGCAGCGGGAACAAATCCACCCTCCTCACGATGGTCCGCCGGGCTGCCTGTCCAGCACGCGCTTCTTCAGGTTTCTCCCCTGAAATCACCTGCTTTCCTCTTGTTCCTCTAAATACTGAGCTCATTTTCACTGTGGACATGGCACCAGCCGTACCCTCTGCCTGGAACGTTCTTCCCCTACCTCTTCACGTGGGCTTTTATAATTTTTCACATCTCAGCTCAATTGTCACCTTCCTAGAGATGCCGTTTCTGGCCACCGTTCCTCCAGCAGCCACCCTCTAGCTGTCCTATTACCCTGCTCTACTCCTTCACGGCATTCAGCACCCTCTGTATCTCCGCGTGCTTCCTGTCTCCCTCCCCCACTTCTCGGCCACTAAATGTACACCCTGCGAGAGTAGGGCCTTGTCTGTCCTACCCATCACTCAGTTCTCCAATGCAAAGGAGAGGCCTGAAACGCAGTAGACATTCAGTAAAATAACCAGATCTCTCACAGATGCCAGTGAGCGAGGGACCCTGTACAACATTCACTGTGAGCTGCTGTCCAGACTGGACTGCAAAGTACAGATTTAGATCATGTGATGCTTCACAAAGAGAGTGTATTGTCTAAAGTCGTAAAATTATTCAAGCTATTCGGCTTTTATTATTAGGCAATTTGGTGGCTTTAAAATAAGACTGACAGCCTTACCTAACGGGCTAAGTGACCTGCCACCAAGTTGATACAGAGATGGCAGGGAGACTGACTAGGTGTGGAGAGAGCCACGGACAGCCTTCTGGGGAAGGAGAGATGCAACCTCCCCACGTTGGACCAGAGGGCCTCCCAGCAGCCTTCCCTGGATCTCCGATTTGCCAACTTAATTAAAATGCACCAGTGGAGACAAATTATAAGGAAAAAAAATGTATGTGTGTTATACACACATGTACTTTTTATAGGAAAAATACATAGGGGATATAAAACCAAATAGAAGAAAACAGCTTTCAAGAAATAGCACTTTCTCACACAGCAAAGCAGAAATGTTTGTGCTAAGTAACCAAAACGGTGAAGAGGCTCCCAGCACCGCTTCTTGTCTGGTCTGTCTGGCCTATTTGACTTCTACCGTCTCCTCCCTTGTTTGCTGTTTCTTTTGGCCAGTCTGGTCCACGTGGCCCTCATGTGTGACTCTGCCCCAGTGGCAGGTACCTCCACTTCCACCTGACAGCAGGAGCAATGGTGGTGAAGACCCTTCTGTTAGCCACTTCCAACTGAAGCTGTCAGGTTTCCTAAGGTGACCGCCTAGCATTCTGTACTAGCGATTCCTTTACTGCTTGGTTAGCAGTACGCACTGTGCATTTTGTTTTTATGAGGCCCATTTTACTGCCACTCATCACCCAGTTACTTAAATGACTGGTAAGGAAATTCGTTCTTTTGTTTTAGTCAACAAATCTGTATTGAGGCCTCCTGTGAACCAACACAATGGCATTCTGCTCTCTGAAGCCATCTACTAGAGCTCAGGCAGTCCCTGAGCTCTGGCACCGGAGGGCGGCTTCCCCACAGCTGGTTAGTCCTGGGTTAGCAGAGTAACTCAAGCTCATTGCAATGACTCCACTCCTCCCACGACCCCCAACAACCTGCTCCCACTGCCAGTCGTCGATGGTTTTGCAGTTCTGTGAACCTAGGATTCCACTGAATTAGTCTCATTTTAAAATAAAAAATTTCATTTGTTAAATATGTAGTATAACCTTTTAATGGCCCATGTCACCTCTTATTCTGTTTAGGACATGGAAAGAGGTGAATGCCAGAGAGCTGGGGCCCCAATGTGGTACCAGATCAGAGGAGCTGAACCAGGAGTGGGACAGACAGGCAGAAGGACCTGTAAGAAGGCACAGGAGAGACAGGACTCTGCACGGCTCATCCTGGATCTCAGTGATCAGTTTAAATGTACTGCAGTTACGGAGTCTGCAGTATAAAGGATAAATGCATCTAACGTACTACTGTTACAACATACACTCATTAATCTGTAACAGTCCTGTGAGGTGGTTACTGTCATCCTCGCTTTACAGAAGAGGACATCTAAGGGGGAAAGACGTTCCTTGAAATTAACTTGCCCGGGGTTACAGTATATGTTGCTAGAACTTACTCAAGGGTCTTTCTACACAACTTCCATGTACTTCTCCCTACATGACCCAGAAAGAAGAGGCCCGACACATAAAGGTTACAGACGTTAACTATGTGCTAAACAAGAACCTAATCTTCACATGGAAAATACTTAGTAGGCTGAGTTGTTTACAAGCCTAAATGGCTTCAAGAGGAAGAGAAATAAGGGAATGAAAATAATAGTTGTCATTTAGAAAGTAATTTGGTTAGAAATGGATTCCAAAGTGTAAAGCAAAGGATGATTTTTTCTAGCAAAACCAGTATTAGAACTACATCATATAACCTTAATCAGAAGCACATGACTTCAAATAATTGCTGGAAATTGAAAAACTGATTTAAATATTAAAGTATTTACATATTACTTTAATATTATCAATATTATAAATATTTATTTTGAAAAAGGGAACATAAAAATATATACTTTGGGAATAGAAAGTAATTATTATCAAAATTTGGCCAAAATAAATGTCATTAACACAAGAACACTGCATTCAGTTAAGGCTCCGCTATAAAGCTGTATTTTGCAAAAACTACAAAGACGTAACACCAACTGGAATTACTGAAAGTAACTTGTAAATAGTAAAACGTAAATAGTTCTACATACGTTCTTTTAACATCTTGTTCAATCATTGACCGAAGTTCTTTATCCTGGAAGAATTTGTTCCAGAGACTCTGAAATAAGGAAAACAACCTATTTAAAATAATATCTCACCTTTGCTTGACTTTAATGATCTCAATTTAATAATTTAAATGGTTAAATTTATCCTTCTCTAACTTATGACTTCACATTGCAGATTGGAAACCTGAAGCTGGAAAAGTGTTTATTAAAATCTACTTTAATCTCAGAAACACATCCTTATTCCAACATCAATTTTCCAGTGCTGTTACCGTATACATACTTAAAACTTTCTACTGCCTGTGTAACAAGAACGGTGCTCTCCTGCTCTGTGCCTGCGGCTGCCCCACCACACGCAGGGCCGCCTGGAGCAGAGGAGGGCCACGGGCCGGCTGGGCCCAACCGGAACCTGACCCGAACTGCCAGCGCACTAAAAAGAAACGTGATGTTTTCTACAAAGCTTTGGTTTGATAATTGAAGAGATTTTCATGTACTTTCAAAAATGTGAATGTAAATAAAGTTTTAAAAAGTACTTAATGTTTCATGAAGCTATACTGTAGACTATATCATATAATTACAAGTATCAGGAAAAAGAAACGCTGATGTTATACACGAACTGGAGAAAAAAACTGTTAGCATGGAAACAGGAATTCGAGCAGCACTGAATAAGGCACATGGTACCGCTGCGCAGTCAGTGTTCCTGTCTTCACTGGAACATGAGCGGAGGTGGGCCTGGTCTTTGCCGTGCTCTTTAAAAACCTGTTCACAGATTCACATCAGACAGTTACTTTCCCTCGTGTGAGCTAGCCCTACCAAGTGGAGCCCTCTCTCTTCCTGTCGTGGAGTGAGGCTGTCCTCAGCCCCCGGGCCCCACTGGGACCCTGATGAGCAGTCCTAGCCCCACCTCGTGCCCCTGCACTTGACCCTCAGTGCTTACAGGCCCTGAGGCCTCTCCTGGCCGCATGTCCCACAGAAACAGATCACCAACTTCCTACAGCACTGCACCTACACTGCATGGGGAAATTTCCACCTGGCTTTAGGGGGTATAACTTGTGGGGTAAAAAAGTGATAATAATTGGTATGAAATAACACTGCATTCATGGTGACTGATAGCGAGACTCAGAAGCACTCTTGTGGGAAAAGAGGCTGAGATATGAATGAAGACATACTGTACCCCTTCGTCCTGTGACAGGGGGTTATTGATCATCAAGTCTTGCTGGCCGACGACCTTCCTCGGGTTTGTGATGTGCTGCGGAAGAAAGGAAGAAAGAAAACACACACAGATCAGAGGCTGCACAACTTTAAGTATACATAAGAAAACATTACAGTCATCAAAGTACAACTTACGATTTCTTTCACGTTGCTATACCATGCTCTTAATTCTTGAATTCTGCTTACCCACTGACTTTTATCTTGAGGAAGAACACAAAGAAAGAGCTGTCCAAAAAAAAAATTTTTTTTATAAAAATTGTAAGAAGTAAAACGTGAAACTATACCAAACAGAATCACCTGAGAATGGAAAATACTCATGATACTCCTATTCATGGCATTGCATACTCACATCATCATTCCCATTTGCAACACACTGTATTTGGGGGTATTTAAGAAACATACACATTTGGACAAAACAAAAAGTGAAGAAAGGCCAAACAACAAAATCCCAAAAGTTACACCACAAAAATGGGATCAACCTTCCCTCCAGACTTAATTAGAAATGAACAAGAGACATTAATTGAGGTTCAAGTACAATCCTATTTTACATTCTTGTATTAATGGGGGTGATGAGGTGTATTAACAGGCACAAGGTCCAATCTGTAATTTCGAGGTTGAAGATTTGTCTTCAAAGAAGCAGGTAAAGGACAGAAAAGAACAATCTGAGGACACAGCCTGAGAAGTGAAGTCATCCCTTTTACCGCAGAAAATGTAATTTACAACCAGCAATCAGCTTATGAAAATAACGAGCATTCTTAAAAAGACAAATTTGATTTAATTTAGTTTAATACAACATTAAAATAAATCTGGATTTGTGTTTATTTTTAGCAAAGGAAGGAGACAAAGTTAAACAACAAGGAGCCGGGGGCGGGGCAGGCGCCCTGGGACACAGCCACTCCAGCAGCACGTCCCCTGCCTTTACTGCCTGCATCTCACAGAAGAAAAATGTATTTTAATTATTAAATCTAAATTATTAAATTTAAAACTGTCTAATACATTATGTGTTCCTGACTGTCTTTACTTGCAGGCTCCGTATGCTCAACTTACGCAGATAAGCCCTAAAAAACTTTCAATAGAAGTCATTTTAAAAATGAGTCTGAATCTAAACTAATTCATTTTGAGAGAACAAAAAGGCACATGTGTCCAAGCGAGGAAAGATACTGCAGATCATCCCGCGCGTGGTGCTGATGGCCTGCTCGGGAAGGAGACCCGCCTCATTTCCTTCCACTTCTTCAGGCTGCCCCCCTTCAGGTACTTTCCAGTAAAAAAGCTGAGAAATCTTTTCCAGCTGCTACTGATGAAGAGAAGCGGGAGAATGACTAAGCGAGGCACCCGAGACAATAGGAATCTGAAACCCTCGCCCTCCAGCTCCTACTCAGCTCCAAGAATTTCTGCAAACGCCTCTGGGGAAACTGAAGGGATCGCTTTGAGTCCCAGGCCATCAACTGAGATGAGAAGACCGTTATCTCAAGGGGCTCCTTCACTGTCACCAGTTCCCCAGGTCTGAGGCTGTTCAACCTTAGCAGCAAACATCCCGGGAAAGATAAACACGGGTGGAGTGAGGTCTCCTGGAAAACTCCGTGGTCCCCGCATGGCTGATCTTCCAGGGCATCAGGTGATGTGCTGATATGCTGTGGACACGAGCTGTAAATAAGTATTTCCTGCTTACCTTCCAGCAAATGCTGCGGAACCTGCTGCTTCTCAGCTGCCCATTAATCCCCTTCTGCCGTATTGTTGCCAAGTAGTTGTTGTTTACGAAGAGTTCCTCCCATTCCTTCCTAGACGTGAGAAATGGGGATCCTTTTGTTACAATTCTGCTTGGAGAGGAGTGCTACAGCAATTTACTTTTAAATAAGTCTAAGAGATGCAACTTTAAAGATGTATATATTTAATTGTGTACTGTTTCTGAACGCCTGGCTGTCTTTTTGGACAGAGTTCTTCCGTAGATTTAATGAATATGGAGATCGCTATAATTATGCCAGCTCCTGAAATTCATAATGTCTACGGAGGCTAGCCCCTTTCCTCTAAAAGGCTGGTAGTGCAGTTCCGTGCATAAACTAGAGAAAAATGAATATTAATCTAAGTATATGACTGCTTTAGCCACTGACAAAGCTATCCCTGCTCCAAAAATACACAACAAAAAAAGTGTGCCACAGATTCTCTTGACTTCTCATGTGAAATATCTGTCTAAATGAACTCATTTCTCTGTAATGGAAGGCTGGGCAGTTACATATAATAGAAGACGACTTTCTTTAATTTTCCGTACTATTTACTATTGAATTCTCTGCCACATTTTTCTACATGATCAGTTTTGAAATTTTAGCAGGTGCAGGCAAATCCGAAAAAAAAAATCAAAAAATTTAAAAGCCTCACTGCAAAAACTGTTAAAGGCAAGCTTGAGTCCCTCGCACACCCAAGACCGAGCAGAGAAACAATGGAAGCCTGCCTCCCAGGCATGCAGGCACCAGGGGCCTCACACCTGTACCTCATTAATATACAAGTCAATCTGCTCTGCTGGGAGACAATTGGAAATTAATTGTCCCAAACCATTTACCGAGTTTGAATGAAGGAAGCAAACCTACATTCCCTGTATCTTGTACCAAACTAAACATCAAGAATCGTTTGTCAATAGTTGAGGCCACTGAGTCCGGCTTTATGAAATTTCTCGCAGATGTCCTAATGCCACAGTAAACTTACAACTTACAATTTCTTATCAAAGCTGAAACCCTGGTAATCTCTTCAGAGAGACTAACTCAAAAGGAAGCCTTGAAAGCCCTCAATCATCCTTCTTTGAATACGTGCAGTTGTCACTAGCCGGACCCTGATCGTTTTGGGGAAGGACAGCTGGACACCATGCGATCTGAGAGCCAGGAACAGAACCAACCGCTCACCTCAAGTTCAGCACCCTGACTGTGAGGCGGGCTGCATCTCCTCGAGTTTTCCAGAAGAGAGACCAAGGCAATGGCACATCCCTAATGTCACGAGCAGGAGGATGTCCAGCCTCAGCCCTGTGGCTCTGATCTCCAACCACACCAGGTCTCCTGCTGCCGGGGACTCTTTGGCTAAGGGTGACCCATGGGACACACACTCCAACCTTATCCCGGAAGAATAAATTCCTGCCACTACTCTGAAAATTTCTTCTTTTCACCACCCTATTCATAAAAGAAAATAGTATTTCATTTTTATTTTACTTGTGTTTGTACCATTAATGGAACTGAAATTTTTCATGCTTTTGGGTTATTTTCTTTTTTTTAAAAAACTTCCTTTCTTGGGCTTCGCCTCTTTGAAGCGTTATATGATATTTGAGAACAGACATCAGAGTCACATCTCAGGGATAAAAAGATGGCCATGCGCGCAGGAACAGTACACACTTTATCAGCTCTACAAGCATGGCCAAGTTATGTAACCTCTCTGTGCCTCTGCTGCCTCACCTGTAAAATGGAACAGTAATAGAATCAACCTCAAATAATCATTATGAGAATTAAAACACATGGAAAGTCCTCAGAAGGGTGCCCAACATAGTCTAACATTGAAAAAATTAATGTTATTGTTAACAATACTTATAACACTGCTCTTATTTTGGTGTGACTTATTGGTCCAAGAGAGTTTTTCATTAATTAAAGACATCACATCGTTCTGCCATGTATCAGTATTTTTAACCCAATTATTTTGATTTTCACACATTGAAGCTTTCTGTGTCTAAATGAAACCTAAGACTTATTTCCTCTTGATGCTCCTTCCATCATTTTCATGCATAAGTGATTCTTAGTCACTCCAGGTTCAAAGACATGCTCACTGAATTCTTGGCTTAAAACAGAATCACTTTAGTCCAACTGCAGTACCTATAGTATTTTAAATACATTATCCATTTCCCAACAATTTCACACAGATTACCCACATCACTATTATCCAGGTTTGTTTTTATCCACTTTGTACTAATCCTCGAAGACCAGACCAGAAACGAGTACTGACACCATTACAGGAGGACGTCTCAGAAAACGTGAGGATGTTTAAACAGCTTGTGGTCTGGGTACCAAAGCGCAAATCTCAAATGGAATCAGAACTGGGATGAGGCCATGCAGTCTGGAGGGGACCATGACCCCCAGCCTCTTCAACGTCAAGTCACAGGCACCAAAGCCTCTGTGAGAGCAGACACAGCTGGTGCTGAGATCCACCGCCATCTCGTCAAGTTAAGCAGCCTTTTAAGGTCAAGTTCCATTCCACTTATGTAATGAAGGATAATTATTTGTTAGCTTAAATAAGACCCTGTGCCTTGATTACAGTGTTGGTAAAGAGAAAAGGAGACTGAGGCCTGTGGGATGGAAACCTCATCTCTGAAATTCACAACCATTTAAATTTATTCCTAGGTGCTTATAGTTCCAATTAAGGACTAACATCTCAAAGTGATGGAGAGCTCTAACAGAGAAACGCAGAGGCCACAAGATAATCCATTAATTGTCTTTCTCTTCTACGGGATAGCGTTTCATTAACCAACTGTGATACAGAGTAAACATAATACACATTTATTCAGTGCCGACTCTGTGCTTAGCACTCAAAGAAATAAAAAAAAAAGCATTCAGGAAAGGGGGTAGATGAATGTGTAAACCAACAATTAAGATGATAAAGGCAAAGCACCGTGGTAGTACAGAGGAGAAATAGTGTTTTACCTACTAAAACTCAGTGTAGAAAATGATACGTAGTTGCACCACAGGCACTGAAACGCCACCCCAAAACTGAGCTATCAGAGGTTTAAACAGTCCATAGAGGACAAAATGTTGAAAAGTGGAGCCCTTTGAGGGGAGCTGGACCAAAATAAAAGCTTTTTCCAATCACAAATATGAACCATGGACTATACTCCTGAACTCAGAGAAAGGCCTGGGAACAGAATAGTAAGCATTGAGGAGTCAGTGGGGGAATTTTTCAGTTTAATTAACAAAAATAAAGGAACGATAGTTGCTAAACTTTGTCTTACATAACAACAACGAAAAAAGGCTCCAACAGCAAAAATCTAGCAATGATGCTTTTTAAATGCTAAAAAAATCCATTTATGATATATATAATATTTTAGGTAAATCACTTTTAACTTCTCTAACACCTTTCCTGGGAGGGTATATTTTTAACCCCTTTCTGAATGACAAAGCTGAGGCCCAGAAACATTATATAAGTTGTCAAGAGTGAAAAGGAAGGAGAATTAGGAAACGCCTCTTCATGGATAACATGGAGACAGCACCAGAGGGAACATGATAGTCCACACATCAAAGGACAAAAAATGGCCTCTGGCAACAAGGCGAGATAGGAATGTGACTTTATATCTTCCTCACATTTGCAGTTTTTGAACATTAAGGCCAAAGGTACAGAGATAAGTTTTCACCAGTTGGGCTGAGAAGGTAAGTCAACAAATACTGAGAGTGGTTAAGAACGCAGGGGACACTTGAGTGCATAACTGCCTCCAATGGAACAGGTTAGAGACCGGGGTCGTAAAAACTGCTGACAAGGCACTAGTGCCATCTAGTGGCAACTAATCTGCACTGCAGGCACCCAGTCCCTGGAAACCAGCATCTAAGCAAGGAGAGGCAGAAACTGGCTGCTTCATTTCCCCTGCCAATGTAATGGATTAGTCGTGGCTGCCTTGGAAGCACTGTGTTGAGGAGGACTCTGAGCCCATCTCTGTGCTCCTCAGAGAAGAACATTCATTGGCCAAGAGTGCTGCAATCATTTCTAAGTGAGTGGAATTAATTTTTGCAGCACCAACTGATGCCTTCCCGCTAAGAAGACCTATTTAGGTAGTTAAGCCTCTTGCAGCTTTTTTTTTTTTTAACATGGAAATCAACTAGAATATGCAGTGAATAAATACAGCTTATAATCATAAAGAGATATCTTTCTAATTATATATTTTAATGTAGTATTTTCCCAAGATATGCACATAAAATTAGAATGCAACTAGTTAGCACTTTCTAAATTTAATTGTTTAAATACTTTTGTAACCTAAATTATGCATAAATGACATGGCAATTCTGGAAAAAATATTTTTGAATCGTCCCAAATGAAGATATAATAGAGAAAACAAGTTCACATTGTATATTTTATATGATGCTTTCTACCCCATTTTCTGGCTTTATTTAGACAGGGGACAATGTCTCTGTGGAGCTAACTTAAAAAAGCCAGGCCACTACAGTAACTGAGAAGAGCCCAGTGACTCCCTACAGCTGGTACTGAACATCTCTGATACCTGATTAAGACAGCTGCTTTGGCTGTTACTGATGAAGTTGCTCGGTGGAGCAGAGAAGGGCTCATCCCACAGGAAAGGTCAGTAAGTCCCGGTGGGTGGGGCTGGGGGGTGTGCCAGGGGGTGGGTGGTACAGGAGCTCTCAGAGATGGCCCTGTGGTTTCCAAGGTCGGCCTGTCAACTGTGGTCATCTCGTTTTTGAGATGTGGCTAGAGTAACAGCAGAACTAAAGGCCAGGCCAAAGGAATGTGGCCTATAAGTGGGGTAAGTAAGATCAGAGTTAGACGCATAGGATATGTCGAAGGTGGAGAAGCACCTTCCAAGCAAAAAAAAACTGCACCTGATGCAAAAAGGTTTAAACAATTTTATAATCCTAAAGTGCATGCCAATATTTGAAAAGACTGCCATGTTAATTACAATCACATTTGCTTTACTGAATGCAAAGGGAAAAGGACACAAGAAGTTTTTAAGGCTGTATAGAAATATATTAGGGAAAGATTTCTATTAATGAAAGGACTGTACCACGATTCCAATATTCCACCTAAAAGAGCA